CCAACTTTATTTGCCCCCTCAATCTTCAACCAAATTCTTTTTACCATGAAAAGTGACTAGTTACAGATCCCAGAGATCAGTATATAGACATCACTGGAGAAACCATTATTCAGGCTACCATGCTGACACACGGAGGCAAAAAAAGAATTTCAAGTTTTTTGTATAATGTTTAAATTGCATAATTAGAATACATATATGCATATTAATTATATAATTTACATAATTTAAAAGAAAATAAAGATAAATTTCATGTTACTTTTTAAAAATGTTTGAAGCAGTTAGTAAATAAGGAAAAAGTCACAGTTTCACTAGCTATTTAGTTCTTTTTATTTATTCTTTTGTCCCTCTAAATTCCTATTCTTTCTTCTTCTATACTTATTTCCTGGTTTTACACCTACATTAGGAGATTCCATACATATATTTCATTTTGTCCTCCTTAAAATTACCTAATCTGAACTGGGTTAGGTCAAGTGTAACTTCACACAGGGTAAAGAATATGCCTTAATGAATTAAATATTATTTGAATTCCTACTGCATAAAAGAAAATAAGTAGAAAACTAGCAGCACTAATATTGGAGCTAGCAATATGGATATTAAAAGTCCCACAACTTGGAAGTACATAATCTAGTGAAAATTACAAATCTTCAAACAAATAATTGCAATATCATATGATGTGGCATAATGGAAGTATGTCCAATGGGTTATGGGAAGGAATTTGATAGGGAGGAAATCAGTTCTACTAAAGATAGGATGGATGTGGTGATTAGAAAGAATTTCTAGGAGGGTCTACCTTACCTGAAATTTTAAATGAAAGGAAGTCACATGAGTGCATCCAGACAAAGTATGGTTAGATGGTGGAGGTAGAGAGAGAATAATCAACACAACCAAGCCAAGGACAGCAGGATACAGAAAAATATCAAAGATGAGGAGGTGAGTGTGTACATTATCTCTGGTGAGGTGGTTACTTTAAACGGAAATTGTACTATAAGTATAAAATAATCATTTGATTTTGAACACTGTAGAAAAATAGTGTAAAAAGGATCATTAATAATTTAATATAATTATTTGATGAAATAATATTTTGGACATATTTAGTCCTAATAAAATGTAAAGTAAAATTTAAAAAAAAAACCTAGGAGATAGATAATAAAGACTCATAAGTTCTGCTCTAAGATTAAAATACTATACCATAAGGTACAGTAAAATTCTGAAAAGGCTTGAGTTGCATTATGGCATAATCACATGGAATTTTAGACAATGAACAGACAGCGCTAGGTGGGATGGATTGGAGATGGGGGAAGAGTAGGAGTAGATCAGCAGTAAAGTCTGTTACAATATTGAGTTATGAGTTTGTGCCAGCCGGAGATAAAACTTCTTTATGTCATTCAAATATCAAGTCAAATCTCACTCACTTCTTAGATTTTATTGAAATCTTTACAGTCCCTCCTTCATAATCCTCTACTCCCTTGTCATCCTATCTACTTCCCCATTGCTATCACATTACAAGGAATAAAATTTTCAGAGCAGTCATAATTTCATAAATTTGTATTTGCCAACTTGTCCATTTTCTCTCCCCTCCAATTATATTTTTAAAAAAGCTTGATAAGGGTAAGATTGTTGGCTTTCTTTTCTGCTATAATTCAATTGCCTAGAACAGTCCCTAGCATGTAACTGGTACCAAGAAACATTTGAGAATGAATGAATGAATGAATTTGTCGATGAATGTGATTATGATGCATTGAGTGGTACTACTCCACATTATTCTTAACTGAAAAAGTTCCTAATCCCTTTCTTCCTCCATGATTGTAAAAAAGAACTTTTAAAGTAGATAAATGGTTTCATTTTCAAAAGCTAACAGAGTAGATGGAAGACAAGAAGGAACTGGGACAGCTGACTCAGTATGAAGACAGTCAAAGCCTATACCTATTGATGCTGGGAGACCATTTTTAAGATTCTAGTGGCTCATTTTTGAAATGAGCATTGTCATCAACATCTTAGCCTCATCTCTAGCTTTCTGAGCTTGCGAGGTTACAAGTCATACCACAGGTATGGTGATGAAATAAGCTCTCAGGCAAACATTTCTAAGAACAGGAGCTGGCATGATACCAACTTTCTCCAGAGTATTTTCTACAATCTCTCATTGTCCTTTTCTAACTTCAACACAACATACACTACCCCAAAGTGGACTCAAGAGGTCACACTGCAGGAAAAAATATGGAAAAAAAATTGTGAATTTAATAGAATTATTATACTAATTCTTTGTGAACCAGAAGACTTTCCTTTTTTAGAGAAACTTTGGCACGTATTTACTCACAAAATGAAGAGTCCCCAAATGTCTATCAAAATATTAAGCATTTTTTAAAAATTAAGCATTTTTATTTGTATTATTTTGTTTTCACTATTTCACATTAAACCTTTATCACAAATTTAAAAGATAAACACATAATTCAGAAATTTGGGGAGAGCACAAGAGCATTTATAATTTAATAACTGCATATGATGTTACCTCTTAATATTTTTACAACAGTATCTCTGGAATGTATTCTGAAATGTTTGCCTGAGAGCTTATTTCATCATCACAGCTGAGTTTACCTTTCCAATATGCAGTTAAATCCTCACATAGCATTCTAAATAGTTTTGTGAAAATTGTGACATTAAGCAAAATGACAAAGTCCTCAGATAATTTAGTTTCAGTCAAAACCAGCCAGGATTTTTTTTTTCCACATCGATGTTAATAAAAAGACATTCAATGAAAGGACATTACTAGACAACGTGTATATATGCTGTATATACACAAAAGTTAAATGTTTATTTAATATCTGTTTTTAGTTAGGCTTATTCATGTTAGCTCAAGGAGAAAGTGGAGTTATCTTAGAAAAATAAGAAAAATGGTAAATCTCATGTAATACAGGGAAAGAAACAATAGTAGGATAAGGTCTCACAGATCGTGGGGTTCTAGGTCCAGAATATTACTTAAGTCCTTAGTTTGAGAAGTACAAAAAGCTCTCCAGCACTGGAGCATTCAGTTTTCTTGCATATACTTATCCACTCTTTCCTCCTCACCCTTCACACTGACTCCTCACCATATATCTTACATGTCTTCTCCTACATCTCAGTTTCTACATGCTATCTTAAACTGCCATGTGTTTTCATTTTCTGTCTGTCCATTTTGCTACTTGACCCTCCCTATTTTTCTTAAAATCTATAGCAATAACACAGACTGCAAACTAATATTACTTTCTCCACAGGTAGTGCTATGATTTTATTTATTTTGCTTTATTTTATTGGCTTTGATTACTTCTGTAGGTGCTAAGATGTATTTTTGCAGTTGATGAGTCATCAAGGTGGTGAGAGGTACTGGAGGGGTCTGGGTGTTGGTGTGAAAAAGCTGGAATGGGGCACTAGCATGTGTTTGCTGCATTGCCAATCAATGAAACAAAAGTTGTTTCTTTGAAAACATAAACAAAGCAGTCAAACCTCTAGTTAGGTTGATTTTAAAAATGGAAAAAAGTCTAAAAAATAAATCATAAATGAAAGGGAAATTTACAACAGACATCTCAGAAATACAGAGGTTCATAAGAGACTACTGTGAACATCTTTGTGCAATAAATTGTACAATCTAGAATAAATGGACAAAGTCTTAGAAGCATATCATTTTCTAGGACTGAAACAGGAAAAATAAACTTTAACAGACCAATTAGAAGCAGAAAAATTGAAACAACAATGAAAAGTCTCCCAAAAAACAAAAATTCTAGGACCAAATGGTTTCACCAATGGGTTTTAACAAAGAAACCATTAAGTCATCTTCAAAGATGAGCTAACATGAATCCTTCTCAAACTCTTCCCAAAAAATTGAGAAAGAAGAAATATATCCAAACATAATTGATGAGATCAACATCATGAGGCAGGATGCTGCTACCAAAAACAGGCAAAGACACCACCAAAAAAGAAAATGACAGATCAATATCTCTGACAAATAAAGATACAAAAATCCTCAACAAAATCTTCACAAATAACAATACATTGTAAAGATCATATATCATGATCAAGCATGATTTCTTCCTTCATTGCAAGGTTGACTGAGCATTCAAACCAATCAATGTAATTTACCACATAAACAAAAGATAAAAAAACACATTATCTAGCAATTAGAATCCATTTATGATAAAAACTGTTAGTGAAATAGGGATAAAAGAAATGTATTTCAGCATAATAAAGGCCACACAGACAAGCCCATAGCTAACATACTCAATGGTGAAAAGCTGAAAGCATTTCCCCTAAGCTCAATTACACAAAAAGCATGTCCACTTGTAGCACTACTAGTCATTATGGTATTGGAAGTCCTAGCTAGAGCAGTTAGGCAAGAGGATATAAAGGAAATCTAAAGAGGAAAAGAAGTTAAACTATCACTCTGAAAATGACAATAAAGATAGAAAACCAAAAAATTCTAATAAAAAAAATTAGAAACAATATGTTGGTAAAGTGGCAGACCTCAAAATCAACATAAAAAGTGTTGCATTTCTACATGTAAATAACAAGCTACAAGAGAAAGAAGTGAAGAAAACAATTTATAGCAGCATCAGGAGTATTAAATGCCTAGGAATAAACCTAGCAAAGAAGGTGAAAACCCATTCAACAAAAACTATATGACCTTGATGAAAGAAATAGGAAACCTGAGAAAATGGAAAAATATTCCATGCTCATGGGTTGTAAGATTTAACATTGTTAAAATGCCCATCTGTTCAAAGCAACATACAGGTCCAATAGAATCCCTTCAGTTTCAATGCATTCTTAAAAAAAAACAGAACATTACTGAAATTTTTCTGAAAATACAAAAGACTGCCAGATAGTCAAAACAATCCTGAAAAAATGAACATTGATATCACCTTTCCAGGCTTCAAATTATATTACAAATTTCCAGTAATCAAAACAGTATGGCATTGAAATAAAAATGAACATACAGACTAATGAAAAAGATTTGAGAGCCCAGAAATACCTACCCTTAATATGGACACAAATCAGTGAAGTATAAAATGAAGAAAAGAAAGTCTCTTCAACAAATGGTGCAGAGGAAACTGGACATCCACCTGCAAAAGAATGAAATTAGACCAATATCTCATACCATGTACAAAAGTTAATTTGAAATGGATTAGTTAATTTGAAATTGGATGCAAGACCTGAAACTCTAAATATATAGAAGAAATCATAGTCAAAACACTCAATAACTTTAGCCTCAGTGATGTCTTTAGGAGTTCACTCCAATAGCAAAAATAAGCAAACAGGACTACATAAACCTGAAAAACATCTGTACACTGAATAAAAACTATAATTTAAGTGAAGACACCTCTTGAGTGGGAGAAAATGTACATCATAATATGAGAAGGTGTTAACATCCAAAATCTGCAAAGAACACATACAAATCAATAACAGGTAAACAAGGAATCCAATGGGAAAAAAAGGGCATAAAGAGCTAAACAGACATTTCTCCAAAGAAATGTCTTGGACACATGAGGTTACCAGGACACTTGAAAAAAATGCTCATCATCAGTTATCATTAGAGTAATGCAAATCAAAGCCACAATGAGATACCACCTCATGCCTTTGAAATGGCCCATATCAAAAAGATCATAAACAACAAGTGCTGATGAGGGTGGAAAAAAAGAGTCACTAGTGTACTTTTGGTGGGAATGAAGACAGGTCCATACTCTGGAAAATAGTATAGTTGTTTCTCAAAACATTAAAAAGAGAGCTGCCATATGATCCAGCAATTAAGTATCTACCCAATGAATACAAAAACACAATTCAAAGGGATGCATGCACTTCTATGTTCATTGCAGCAATATTTATAATAGCCATAGTATGGGAACAATCTAAGTGCCTAAAGATAACAACAAATGAGTGGGAAAAGAAGATGTGATATATATATATATATATGAGATATATATATATGTGATATATATATATATATACACACAATGGGCTATATGTCAGCTGTACTTTTTTAAAAATGGAATCTTGCTATTTGTGACCACATGTATGGAACTAGAGAAGATTATGCTAAATGAAGTCAAAAAAAGAAGAAAAAGTAACACATGATTTCACAATATGGGCAATATAAAGAAACAAAGCAAAGGAACAGAAAAAATTAAATCAGTACCTAGAAATATGACTGGAGAATTGAGGCCACTAGAGAGAAAGCACAAGGCTGGAGAGCAAAGGAGGGAGGGTCTATGGTGGAGGAGGATGATATTCTGGAGGTAGGCGTGGCATGGTAACATCCAGCTGAAGAAGTATGAACCTATGCCAAGAAATTATATTCAGTGTTATAAATCAATGTTACTTAAAAAATAAAATAAAAAGGAAAGTATTCCTTATAAACAGGGTCCTTTCCTCTAAGCTGTGACTTAGCATCTCAGCCTCCTTCTATCATAAGACTCACTTATTTTAGGAGTGGTCCAGGTTCATCATGCTCATCTACATCTAGATGGCAAAATGGAGAGTGATTAAGAGTGCTCTGTGGGTGAGAACAACTTTGTAGACAGTTGTCTCTGATCTAGTGCATAATATTAGCCATAGTATTCAATCTTTTTATTAACTATTATTAAGTACTACCCAGTCACTTTATTCCCAAGTCACTCAAATATAAAATAGCTAAGCCTTGATCACATCTTAGGACTCTGTCTTTAGGACACTTTTTATTCTGACCCTTTGTCTTGGAATGCCATATGTCAACTCTTGGCAAACTCAGTGAGCTATCGCCTATCCTCTTCCTCTAGGAAAATAAATTTTGGTGAACACTAAGCCATGACTCCTTTCTAATTATGCATTCCCTTGATTCTTTCTTTATTAAATACATTTTAGTAGCATATACTGATTTTTTATTCTCTAAGACAGGAATCAGCAAATTTTGGGGGTCATTGGTAAACATTTTAGGCATTGTGAGACATATTATCTCTGCAGAAACTAGTCACATCTGCCAAAAAAGCAATAATCTATAAATAAATGAGCATAGTTATGTAACCTGAGATGACAAGACATTAGGCTGTAGTTTGCTAACCTTTGTTTTGTGGATATAAAAAAGTCTGTTTTGTCTCCTTTTTGTTTCAACCCACTACAATGCAAAATAAAGGTAACCTCAAAAAATACACAGACTCTAAATCGTACTCCTGCAACATCCCTGCCATACAGGAGGGAAGCAATGTTTCCATTTCATTGGGAAATATTTTTGCCAATGGAAGAAAGAATTAACTGTAAACTAAGGTGACAAATTTACTCACATAAAATCCAAAATACACAAGGGAAAAAAAAACATAAGCTATTATTTGAGTTACAACTGCCCAAACATTCTTATCAAAGCCCTATAGTAATATAAAAAGATTAATATTGAGCTCTATCCAGTAATCTTATGATGGACTATTTTAAGCACCTCCTTTAAGTAATGTGTAGTTCTCTTTAGGTGGAAGACCGTTAGGAGTCCTAACCACAACCCCACATTCCTTACCAAGATTACTTATGGGAAAAGAAAATTTTATACCCGTAGGGGTAATAGAGTACTCATAACCATTGAGTGTCCACTCTGTTCTCTGGTCTCTTCAGCCGGGTTGCTTGTCTTCATGGTTATTATTTGTCTTGCTGGTATTCACAGTTAAAGTGAGTGGTTCCTCTGTTCAATAGCCTTCCTAAACTGACTCAGTCTTGCCTCAGCCTCCCACGGCACCACAAGCCCTTCTGAATGTCTCCACATCTCCCAACCTGTCCCATGCCTGGGTTGCCAACCTTCACTCAGCCCTAAAACCCTGCTCAACATGGCATGTTTGCTGATATTCAATTCTCCTCCTTTCCACATCCTGTCCACTCAGGGTCACACAGGAATTTCTGGTTCTCACACACACACAATATCAGAAATTCACTATCTTAGAAATGTTTCATTTCAACAGTTCTTTTACTTATTCACACTGTGCCACTGAGCTTACTGAGTGATAAAGGAACCTGACAAGAAAATGAATCCCAGATTCCTAATCAATAAGATAGCAAAAAACCTCCTCTTTATATAGGTTTCCCCCTATTTATGTGGATGGTTGTAAAGGTGGGTGGGAAACAACTCTGACACCTACCTTCCTCTACCTACCTCTCTAACTCTCTCTGTCTCATCTCGCATAGGCTCTCTCTCTCTCTCTCTCTCTCTCTCTCTCTCTCTCTCTGCTTCTCTGTCTCTCTGTCTCTCTCTCTCTGCTTCTCTGTCTCTCTGTCTCTGTCTCTGTCTCTGTCTCTCTCTCTCTCTCTCTCTCTCTGCTTCTCTCTCTCTCTCTCTCTTTATCATTACTGCATTCTATACTGGGCAGTAAGCATTTTTGTCAAAACTGTAGTGGACTTTAATCTTCTCTAGACTATACTAAAAATTTTATCATCTGTTTTCTCGTCTTGGTTCATAATATACTAAAATTTTGAAGAACTTCTAAGTCAAACTTGAAGTCTATTGCTATGCTAAATATGTCAAATACCTGCTCTTTCTTGCCCTGTCTGTGGTATTAAGCTTCCAGTATCCTTTAAAGGCAAAAGGCCTTAAGGAAATATGATTTACTGGAGGATGTATTCATTTATGCAATTCTATTCCAAGTGCCCTCAAACAAAGTGTTGAAAAACTAAAATCTACATTTCCCAGACTCCTTTATAGCTAGAGTTCTGGGTGAGATCTAGATACTGTCATCTAATACACCAATGAACAACTTTGTTTCACACTGAATTAAATCGGGAGGAAAGGCAGAGTGTAAGACTGACAGGAACTGTAGCAAAGAAAGCATTCTTGAGCTGACAATTGTTAAAGTAGCTCTCTGATTTGACAACTTCTTAATAGTAGAATAAAGAAGGGATAAGGTCCTGGACCTGGCAGTCAAGCAGTTGGCAGCTTCCTAATCAAAAAGGAGCAGCAGCTCCCTGAGCAACCCAGGGATTTTGGAAATCATTCCTGAGAGTTGATTCACCCTTCTCAGTAATGCTCTGAGGTGTCTTCACATTGATATCCTTTACACTTAAATAAACCAGGTAAACTGAATTCTGTTTTATGCCACTAAGAATCTCCAGTACTATGAGAGTGTGAATGAAAAATGGGGTAAAGGGAAGACTGCCAAATGTTTCCATTAAATATTGGAAAATAGTGTCCCTGTTACATCTAATTTGAGAGACTGGTGAAAACCCAACATGTTTTAGGTAACTGATGTTTTATTTCTAGGTAAGGTTAAGAGTAAAAGATCATTCTGTGAGCACAGCACAATTTCTCTTTCTTTCTGTATTTTTCTTCTACATTCCTATATTCAAGTGTTATAGACTTTGACATCTATCTCCATGCAGGACCTCCTCCTTACCTTACCTTTTAATATTTAACTTTTTTTTTTCTTTTGAGGGATGGGGATTGAAAGAAGGGTGGAGACTAAGGAAACAGTTCTTTAGTTCTTCATTAGGAAAGACAAAACATCTTTCTTTGCTTTCAAATCTAACCTTTATCAGAGAGTTCTGAATAAAACATATTTAATTTCCACATGGCTCCTTAGAACTCTCTTCTGTGACTCAGAACTTTATGGTATGGAGAATTGAAATGATGGTACCCTCAAACCTCTATTTTTCAAAGCTGAAACTCAAATTAGAAATTATTTATTTCAACCTCCTTCTCGTTGATGAAGACACTGTTATATTCAAGGTTATAGATGATAAAGTAGAAGAACCCAGATTAAAACTCAGATTTGCAGACTCTGTGTCTATTGTGTTTACCACATCAGATAAAGACTTAGGTGAATGAATTTAAGAGGCTAGTGATTTGTACTCTAGTTCTCCATCCAGCTCACTTTACTCTTTTATATAACCCAATTGACCATTGTAAGCATTTGTTTTGGGAGTCTCAATTTAAAAGAATCCTTCATAAAATATCTAAATGGATAAAAACTCCTTTGGTAAAGCAAATCATTCCTACATCTATATTTTGTAGTGTGATATTCCTAAAAGCAGAACCCACCTTAAAAGGGAATTAGAACAATGTAAAAAGTGTATAAAAAAGGATATAAAAATATTTAACATACTCTCATATCTTTAGCTA